CACACACACACACACACACACACACACACACACACACACACACACACTGGTGCTCTGGCAGATACAAAAGATACACAATCATGTGGATGCAAAGAGGCCCTGAGACAAGCATGTTACATCCATGCAGAGAAAGGGATTTGACTGAGGAGATGAGTGTTTCCTGCCAGCTAGTGGTTGTGAGTGTACATTGTAGGGACATCATTTAGTATCAGGACACAAACGTTATCCGATGTGTGAGGAGTCAATACATAATGAATGACTGCTGTCGAGCAGTATACGTTTCCATTTTCAAACTGACAGAGAGAGAAATAAATACTCGCTGTATAAGTGATGAAATAACAGAGAAACAGATACTCAACCCTTCTTCGACAGCCACAACCCCCGGCCTCACCTGCTCCTGAGTCTCCCCCTTTGGAGGGGTGAAGTCTGGAAACGACTGACCGGCTGCCTTGGCCATCTCTCTCACGTCCTGCACCCGCTGCCCCTCTGCTATCCCGAAGCTCTGAAAAATAACAAGGCACTGACTGGATGACTCACGTTCATCTATTAATAAGTAAATATATCCAAAGAAAATGCTTTTGTGAAAACACTTTTTGTTGTAAGATCCCACAAAAGAAATGCCACTCACTTTCTCTTTAAGTAAAGAGTCACACACCATTTGTACACCAGAACAACTACGGTTGTGTTTCATTATTGTTTCAGCAGTCTGGAAGAAATAATGCACATCATCATCATCATCATCATCCCATCACACACTAACATACTGTGACATGCTGACATTATCTCTCTTTACAGAAGAAGAGCAGAAGCTTCCCCGCCCACTCCCACGCTAAGATAAATATTGCTCACAGGAACAAATGTCCCAAAGTGAAAATAAAAGCAGAAAAGTGTGGTTTAATGCAGTATAATAGTGTAGAGTACTTCTATTACATCTACTCATACAGTCAAATGAATACATCCTGCAGTGTTTTGATTCATTTTTCAAATCAAGACTCATAGCTAGGTCCATCTGTGAAACCAAAGCATCGTACCTGCTGGGCCCGCAGCATATCGCTGACAAACACGTTGCTGAACGCAACATCTTTAAGGTAACAGCCTGCTGCCTCAGCCTGCTGCAGCCCGATGTCAGACAAGGGTGAATCTATGGCCTGGCCTGTGTGGAGTAAGACGGAAAGATGAGAGTAAGACACAGAGAGAACACGGGATAGTGTATCTTCAGTCGTACTATACCTTGTAGCAGGCCTTCTTTATTGTACTGCGTTTCCCCACTGCAGAAAATAAATGACTTATCAATGCCAAAGTACAGAAGCTAATATCATTTACAGATTAGTTAAAGAAGCTCATAGAAGCTACTGTTCAACTGTCATACATTTGATTTCATGCTTTTTACCATATACACACGTGTATATATTTCTCCTGCATAATGTTTTGCTTTAGCACCTTTAAGTAGGGCAGATGATCAAACATGGCTCCTGTTAATTCAGGCTCAAGCTTTCCGGCATGTCCCCTAAAAGGTGACTTAATCAAAACTAATTTTCACATGATTTATGGATTCTGGTTTTATTGGCATCATTTCTCTTGACACTAATGCACATTTGATAGAAATGTTTCATTTAGTATAAATGGTTCTACCTGTAACCCGGAAATACATCTATGACAGGAAAAAGTGGATTTCAGTTGTTTAATTATTATTACTAATATTATTATTATTGGTAGTAGTAGTAGTGGTATTAGTATATTCAAAATATTATCATATTAAACCAGTTTTCTAAACCATATATTCTAGTGTTGAGTTTCCTCTTAGCGACAACAAGCTCTAAATGAATTTAGGTTTCCTCTGGTAAGCAGTGATGCATGCAGTATATGTCCAAGGCTTTTATTGTGAAAGGTAAGAACGGATAAAGTGAAGCTGTGAAGCGCCACCACTGACTGCAGGTGATACTGTAGGTGGGAGTGATACAAAGTTTTGCAAATCATAACCATCGGCAACAGCAGCTTACGCTACTTGAGAACCAACTAGAGTAAAATGAAGACTTTTTATTTCCGGTTTCGTCCTTGTCAGGAAGCTTTATCGTTTATACCTCAAAAGATATTTGTTCAAACGTGTCTCAGTTCCAGACTCGGGACGTGTTAGGACCACAATACGTCTTGTTGGTGGTTTACCGTTGTATTAAGCGCCGTCCCCTCGTAACCCGATCGTCCAAGACGCATGTTAATGCAAGGTGTCATCAGGGTCATCAACACTAGGGTTAGCATGTAAACAGCCAACGTTATGCTAAATGATGCAGACTGATATATATATATATATATATATATATATATAGACATTTGATTTTACACATATATAAATATATACATAGACCCATCACTTTATCAAAAATAACTTGGCTAACGTTAATAGGTCGAAGGAGCGACTACAGACTGACGCGGTCTATAAATAGGAGCAACAGGCAGCACCACTCGGAGCCAAACGTTATCATAAACACTGAATATGAATGTCAACTGCACTTACTGTCGAATAAGGCTCAGCCCAAATGTTAGCGCCTTCATGCTTTAGACTAAAGCCGTATAATATCCTATTGACTGTGAGGTAGTTTAAAAAAAAAAAAACTGCCTCGAGGTCGACTACAGCAGCGTACTTGTCTCGCGCCTGGAGAGGTATTCTGGCACATAAAGGTAACACTAGACAAGCGCGTAATTTAAAACTAAAACAAAAAACTATTAGAACAAAGTCCCACCCACTCCTCTCCAATAAGATTATATTATATTTACTCAAGGGACAAGAAAATAAGCGTGATTGATTATTTAGAATAATGACTTATTGATTTAATTATTATTCCACCATCTGGAATGAATGATAATTGGAATCAAGTGGTGTGTGCGTGTCTGTCTACTTGACAACTGTTATAAGCATTTTCAGCATATCTGTTGATGTTAAAAATGATCCTTTTTAAGGTGATACAATTGGCCATGAAGTCTGACTATTATTCCTATAATTGTATGAAGATGTCAGGCCCCACTGTCACAGAAACAGGTACTTTACCGTTTTCTATAAACACACTTTTATATTTGCTTGATTTTAATAAAATTATTAATCGATAACAAAATAAATTGAACTTTTTTCAACATACAATACTATGACTTTTTCACGACTTTTTTCAACATACTATAATATGACATTTTTGGACATACAATATTATGACTTTTTCATGACTTATTTTGTCATACTATACTATGGGTACATTCAAAGTCTGTTATTTGTCATTTCAAAGAATTTAAATAGTCCGTATATAATTGTTGTGATAACAGTATCTATTATAGTGGAGCTTGGAGTGTCTAAACATTGTAATAGGAGATACATTTTTGAAATATTGAGCCCCATAGGGTTTAAGAGTTATACATTTTGGACATAAGTTTCTTAATTATTATGATGGCCTGAATTGAAATCATATATAACCTTAAATAAAAGTAACTTTCTAGGTATCTGTGTGAAATATCCACCTATGACAACTTTGTATTTAAAAATCATAGGCTCTAGTTTTACAACAAATACATATTCAGTCTTAATGTCTTGCCTGTCAGAAGTATATTAATTTAGCCCACATTAATTTCAATATATTAAACACATTAAACAATCTTTCTTTTGCAGCAAGTCTGTTGCTTATGGTAATGTCTGTGAATCAAATACATTAATACATGCCGCCACTAGAGGGCATAAATAACACACTTGCCCTCGTCATCCAGCTTTATTTGTGACATTTCGCCACACATTTTATTATCTGGGCCTACTTGGGGACCTACGTTCTAACCATCCTTCAATCTCACTGCTACGTACAGTAATACATGGGTCACCATAATACCAAAACCATGCATTCAGCTGTAATGTGCCCCAATGAATGCGGGGTGCAGCAGGAAGCTAACAGCCTGCCTTGTTTTTTTGCACTGACTATGTACTATGAAGTTGTCTATAAATGAAGTTGTACATAAACTCCCTTCACATCTTACTGGTACATTTCCTTAACTTTTGGTGGCAGGCAGATTTATTGGACTGAGCTGAAATATCAATACATCCCATTTTTTCCTGTGTGTACACATTTGCAGGGAGTGTTTATAACTGGTCTTCCTTATACTCTGGCCAAGGGAACTCATTGTCCCATGTCTCGTCATCGCTGCTTTGTGTAGCTTTCAAATGATTAAGTGCAGCTGAACTTTGCTCTGCTGTATCACTGCTGACTCACACACACAAGCTAGTCTATTGATCCTGAAACAATTAGACACACCGGTTAAAAGGAGCACAGGCGTGGGAAATAGTGAGCTGATGTGGTGTCACACCCTTTAAAGCAGAAGTTTATTGAACAGAGGTTGTGCAACAGACATTTGAGGTACATGATATGAGTTATAGTGGAGGCGGGGCAGCTAGAAGGGAAATCTGCACCATTGAAACTTCCAGATATCAGAGTATTTATGGTTACACATAACAGGTGTAGCTCAAACCATAATTATGTGGCAGTTACAATGGTGCGCATACATATATTTCAGACCAAAACGTATTTTTCTTACATACATAATCCATGTTTACTGACATTCAGAGTGATTGTGGTTGTATAAAGCAAGAACTGTACTTTGGCCATCATAGGAATGCTGTTTTCCCTATCTCACACACAAGTCAGATGTAGCACCAAGATGAACTGAAATGAACATGCTTGAACTATCTACGAACGAAACATCCCCCAAGAAATGTTGCTGCGCCCGCCCCCCCCCAATAGGTTAAGTCCAAGTGGAAACGTTGCATATTTCCTGTTTCCCGTCTCACTGAGGAAGTAGTTTCTCCACTGAAACAGTGGGAATCATCCACAAAAATGCTAATTTGTCGTTGCTCGCCCCCCTCCCCACCCCCGTTGTACTTTTTCTCCTCCGTTCCAGGCTACCTAACTGCAGAGGTATCGGTAAAGGATTTGTTTGTGTTTTATTTTGTCCAGTAATCCTGAGGTATCGGAAATACCACTGATGCAGAATGTGACTGAAGGAGAGCAAAATAGATAAAAGGGGGAAAGGACACATGCTATCTAAGCAAACTGTACAAAGAACATTTCCAGTCGAATAGTCATTTCATGTTCTTCTATCACCATCTACTTCTTTTTTTCTGAATGTATCTCTTAAGCAGTAAAATAATTATATTATAATACACGTTTATAAAATAGCAGCACACTCAAGTGACACATCACAACTAGGTAATGTTATTTTTTGTATAAATGACACAAATTCATAGCTTTTAGCAGCGCAAAAAGACAACAATAACTCAATAAAAATATTGACACTTTTTTTCTTGATGTCTTCACACCTCCTCCTCTGTCCTCTCTTCACTTTGGAATACAGTATCTCTAAATCTTAGAAAACCCCTTTTGCGGGTCTGGTCACCCCATAAAATATATCAAACACAAATCGAAAAGATGGTCTCAATATACAACACATGCAACAATAATTTGCAGGAAAGAAAATCACAACTATTACGTTCAGGAGAGAGCTAACATCAGGCAAACAGAGGCAAAATGAAGAGGTTATATCAAATATTCAAACAGGGATGTTTTGGCAAGTATGTCATTAAATTGCCCAGTTTTACTTAAACACGTGATCCCCACATTTATCTTCAGTTTGACGGACATACACTCAGCAAAGTCACATACCGTCAAGAAAAAAACTCAAGCATTAAGTCAAAGACACCTTTCTGTGGCAAAGCCTCGTGTCCCATTAAAACAAAACAAAGCAAAAAAAAATCTGTCTCTTGTTTTGTGCTGGTGTCTGTTTGGCTGATGAACCCCCTTGCCAATGATTTGAAGCAGCAAAGCTCACAGGGGACAGATGTGTTCACTGACAGACAATCGGCCTGAAATACACAAGCCAGCACCATAGAAAACTGACCAACCACTGAAACACACATCAGTTGAGGTGGTTTCGAACAAAGGCTCTGCTGTCTTACAAATGCAAACCTCATGGCCCTCTGAAGAACATGTGCAAATATTAGATGTTACGACCACCTTCTCTTGTAGCTCATTGCTGCCCTGTGTGTCTGTCTGTGGCTGTGATGCAGATAAATATGAAGAAAAATTCAAGTAGAAACAAATATTTAATTTCTTGACAAAGTAAAATAAAATCAAACAGAACCCGTGGATCAGTGAAGTCTGCATGTAGGCATTTTCCAAATCATGTTGGCGTTTTTCTATTTGTTCAAATTCTCTGAACGATCAGACTCTCCACCGACTTGCACTTTGCTTCAAATAGGAATGTTTTGTTGTCTTTTTTCGATCGGAATGTCCTCTCGTCGCAAGTTGTGGAAAGCCTTTTTCATTTTTGACTCTTGCTTGACAAGGGTATGTCTGACAATTGGGAAACCAGCCCTACAAAGTAAACCAAAGAAAAGGCTAAAAAAGAGAAACATCCATTCACCTCCAATCACGACCCGACACATTTCATTTACTTATCTCCTGGGGAGCATGTTCTCAAAGTGCTTTGCCATTGAAATCATATAGGGGAGCTTAAACAACCCTATGTGGGACTCCAGATGCATTGACAGTAAATCATCATCTTGTACTCCTCTAACCCCCCCCGACCCACCCGCCTCCCTCCCCCTCCATGAAAGTTCATCCACACATGGTCTGGCAGCATCTTCGTTCCTCATTTATTAATCTCCAAACCCAGAACGTTTTTTGTTCACTTAGCTGTGTCATTGTAGACATCCACTGTGAGAAATGAATGCTGATTCCAGCCTAATATGCAGTTATCAAAGTTTTATTGTGTGGCCTTCGGGCATCTTTTGTTCATTATCATCTTCCGGCCACTGGCTGTAAATCCTCCACACTGCAGCATGCTCTTGCACCATCAAAATCCTTTCTGTCCTACCACCCTGTGCTGTGCAACCATGTGCCCCCCACAGTTCAACACTTAGTTGCAAACTCTTTCTAATTCTTTCCACGCCACACCCGGTTCCCTCCCTGCTAATAAATACAGAGGAGTCCAATGTTCTCCAGACTTTCAAAAGCATCGCATTACTTTTTTTTTTTTTCTCCAAGACATCGTCCTCTCCTGCTTTTTCACATGTGCAATACACACACTGCACACTCGTGGGAGGTCATTACAACTCTTGTCCAGACTCAAAGCAGCCTTTCACTTCTAAGGAAACACCATATCGTAACAACGTGAAAAGAAAGAAGTATCTGTATCATTAACAGAATGGCAGTAATAAACAAACACCTCACATGACCTCTGAGTCTGAGGTGTAACGCCTCAGGAAAAATGCTCTTGGAAAGATAAGGGGCTCTAAGTGAAAGTCCCTTCGCCCATATCCTCCTTCACTAAATCGTAATCCGTCTCACGCACGAGTTCATTGTTGGCCAACAATGAACCACGACACATTGTTAATGCATGAAGGCAGTGATATTAGCATAGATGCCCTGTTATACTGATGGACAACGTATGTGTAGCCTCCTCTTGCTCCGTAGTCTTTTGACTTAGTACTGTAAGTCTGTGACTTGACTTTGCTCAAGTGCCTCACGCCATAGAATGCACACTGCTAATATAGATACAGGTTCACATGTAGCATTCACACCACACATACACGCACGCACGCATGCAAATCTGGCATACTGACATATAAACACACACACATGCTTGCACACTGCACCCACAAACGGACACACAAGCAGCCTGACAAGAGGAGCTTATTGATCTCTACTACGCAGTTCCAAAATATATCCAATAATATTATCAATAATAATAATTACTAATACTACTAATAATTATTATGATCCCGTCTCTTCCATGGGATTGGGACCCATCGACTTTTAGCATAACGTTCTCACGGCTTCTTCTGTCTCTCTCATGCGGACCTTCTGATGATCGAGGAGCTTGTGTCGCCTCTTACACCAGCCACGAATGTTATAGTGATAATACTCATGTAAAACAAAACAGAGAAAAAAAAAACGTAAGCCCCACCGGGATCCCATGTAATTTTTTTGAATGGTTTCCACAACTTCTACCATGGTTAAAATATAACTTAAAGATCATACTATACAATCAAAGGCAGAATGCAAATATGATTGGCTTTCCCTTCTGTATATCCAAGTTCACCACAGAGCTTCATCTTGTATCAAATTTGTTGCTTTTGGACTAGAACATCATAGAAAATCTATTTCGTGGGCAGGTGTTTTTGACTTGAAGAACAGAAAATCTACACAAAACAAAAAAAAACAAAAAAAAAAAACAAACTAGCAAGCATTGTTCTTTTTCTTTTAAAGGGCTTGTGTTTTTAACATTTTTGTTCTTTTGTTCTTTTTTTCTGCATTTAAGAAAATTGAGGTTTTTTTTCATGATGCTTTTTTTTTTTGTAAATCCTGTGCAATATCGCCCTCTGGTGGTTCACAAGTTGACATCACGGACGTCTGTTGGGGTGGAGGATTGATCCAGCTCGTCCAGGCCTTTCCCGCTGGGGCCTCTCTGCGTCTGCTGCTGCTGCTGCTGCTGCTGCTGCTGCTGCCGCCCCTCACGCAGGCTGCTCACCAACACAAGCTCAATCTGCTCCTGGCACTCTTTGAGAACGTCCTACAGTGCAACAAGAGAGGGAGGACAAGCTGTAAATATATATATATATATATATATATATATATATATATATATATATACACACACTACATATATATATATATATACACACACATTTTAAACTGCTACCAGGGGGGCAGGAATTTTCTCTCATTTCCAAATCAAGTCAATTTCATTTTCTTCAATGTTCAAGTGGCATTTTCAACATAATAGAGGATTATTTAATGCAACTGGAAGGTTGTTCAGTTTGCCTCTTATCAAGCAGTTCGGCCTGAATCAACAGATATAGTGCCACGGTTGCTCACTATATCATCTAACGTAAGTCAGTGCATGACAACAGGGACCCCTGGCGTGGCGGCAGAGGGGCCAGGAGGTTTTAAATGACTATCGACTTTATAGCTGCTCCGGCTACTGCCAAGGTTGAGCACAGACACGGACCAGACTCAAGCATTACATCAGCCCACCAGGGTTGTGCACTCGTGCACGGACATACATGTGCATTAACACGCACACACCACTGCCTCTCCCATCCCACCACCTCCACCATTCCCAAACACACGCAAAAACCCAAACAGGAGTAGCTGGAAACACAGGTAGTACTAAAGCTATGTTAATTACATCTACCTCCTGTGGGAACACAAAGGTGGTGCTTTTTTAACGAGATCCAGTCTTGTGGGCCTGCCTGCCTGCAGGGGATCCATCTGAGAACCTGGTCGGCTCGCCTTTCACCATCAAAGGCTGCGGCAGCAATCTGAGAATCCACCTGGGAGAGGAGCCTCTCAACAGCACTGAGCCCTCATATCCTTCCCTGATGGAGGGTTGACAGAGGGGACAGCGCAGCACATGGAGAGGGAGCAACTCACTGGGGAGGGGGAGTAAAGGGGAGAGCGGTGCTAAATGAGTTGTTAGCTAGAGCGTCAGAGAAAGGTCAAAATGTTTTTGAGTGAGGAACTGCATGACAAAAATATATTCAGTAAGAGCAGGCGGCTGCAACAGAGCAAACGGATATGAAAGTTCTCCTGTCCGACTTAACACCGCTCCCTGGTGGCAAAATACCAGAACACAGCTGAAGCTGAGTTGCCTGCTTTTCAGCTCTACTCACGAGTAACCCCCCCTGCCTTAAAGCACCAGGCGTCTGTGCGAAACACGACTGAGAGCGCCCCATGGCCGGAGGGATGGGTGAAAGTGTACCGCTTGTGGAGCGAGAAAACATTCTTCAGACGTTTAGAGCCTAATTAAAACCTGATGGGCCACAGTTTGAGCCTGTGTTACAGCTTCTGGTGCCGCTGGGGCCTTGATGAAATGAGGACAGAGGCCTCACTCACATCTGAATTGCTCTTTGGGAGCCGCACACGGGTGAGTGGCAAAAAGGTCACAGAGTGTCAAAGGTCGAGCAGCATGACACATAACGGTGCGAGGCATGCACCCTGTTGTCGGAGGGAAACTACATGAGTTTTTTTTTATGTCTAACCCAACTTTCAAGACTGGTGATGTGAATTTCTTTACAAGAAGACTTTGAAATCTATACAATTACACAATCATTGATAAAATGGCTCTGAGCCCAGAGGGGTTCTGCTGAAGTTTGCATGAGGTAATTCCCATCTTGACGACTCTTGTTTTGAGTTCTCCAGACACTACAGATGATTAGCTCGAGAGAGTTTTTTGGGGTCACAAACCATGAAGAATGATTTGACGTTGAGGAGGTTGGACTGATCTGGGCTGGGGAGCAGCGGGTCTGACGTGGAGGAAAACCCGACCGGCGTCTGTCCCTTAATCTCCTCCAGAGGTCGGCTGCTAACATGGGCGCGTGTACGACTAGCACACACAAAATCTTCCCACCAACATGTGCCCAGTGGCTCACAAAATCTCAATTCCTCTGAGAGAATTAAGTTAAGCGAAGGAACATATAAAGGAACTGCCTGTGTCTTACCGCAAGAATGCACGCCTTCACTTCTTAAAAGACATTCTCCGATCCCATGCCAAGCCCCATGGGCTTCATTCGAAAGACTTTAATGACTTCAATGTGTGACTACTGAAAACACCAATTCTGTTTTCAGTGAAGCTCTGGGTATTTGGATACTGTGGGGGCCAACAGCACCGAATAAGTTGGCCATGGGTGTTAGCGCTATACTGAAGCGTCTTATTTTGCAGCCTCAACCCTGGAAAAAAACATAACCAACCTCAGATCCTCCCTTGTCGTTACGGCCTCCATCTGCCCCACCTCAAACATACATTAAACTGCAACAATCTGTCTTCCTGACAAATCAAGGCACGCGCATTATCCCTGGGCGGCCTTTGTGACACTGGCGGTAGAGAGGGGAAGTCGTGCAGACACACAAAACCAAAAAGGAAGAAATGTGTGAAGCCATGGAATGTGTTTTAACTGCTGACTGTACCGCACAAGACAGTGTTTAGCTACTCTGGGAGGACTTGGTGGTCAGACAGCTGAGACAAACACACAGGGCAGACACACATACTACTAATCTCAGGGAATCCTAAAACAAAATATCCGGAGGCTGACACCGGAAGTAAGGAGTCACCACATGACTTGAATTTCCTCAAGTTACTAAAAGGAAAATGTGACCTTTCTCTTTCTTCAGCTTGCATGCCGAAAACACCACAAGCAGTGACGCCACGGGCTGCGTTAATGGAGATAATCCTTCTTAATAAATGCATCTTTGTTGCAAGCATTCTGGCTCCATCACACTGCTGTTGAATTCCTCCCCCAGAAAAAAAAAAAAAAAAAAATCCACATTTCAATTTCACATCCATCCATCACCCAACTTGTGCGAGACCATCGCAGTGATATTTAGGACACGATGGAGACCGGAGTCATTTAAAAAAAAAGGAATGAAAACCGAAGGGATGGAGGAATGGGAAAATGTGTTTCTGGTGTCTGTGTCTCGCTGAAAAGAAAAAGATGAATGAGACACTGAGAGAAATTGACCCAAAAACAGCAAAATCTAGGAAGTGGTCTTGAACCCTTGCACTGACACTACAGCTGACCTGTGCAGTTTAAGGGAGTCACAACTGATCAGCCTCCCACTGTAAACTCACCACGTTCTCACAAATTTCACATTTCTTTTCTCGGCACATTATGACTTGGCTCACACAGCCCCCGTCTGCTGTCCCTAACAGGGAGCCTCCTCTTGGCCACACCAGGTGTGTGTGTGTGAGGCTACACACATTCTTCCAGCCATCCTAAGATGGTGACTTGGCCCTATCACATTTCCACTGGAAAACCACAGCTTCTGGATACCACAGATGCCAGCGGGATGCCAGCGGGGTGCCAGGGGAGCGGTGACGGCCGTGATGCTGTTGGCAGCAGCAGCTGCAGAGGTTGGCGAAACTTGCTTTTGCCTTCATATTTTGCCTGGCCCTTCGGCCGGCTGGTTGTGCTACGCTGTTCTACCCTCTACACTGCCTGCCAAAACCAAATACAGTATGCGAAGTGTACACATTTAGACTCAGGTTCAAACCAGCTCCCTGATGACCGCAGTCAAAACTGAGGTTGAGGTGACCCTTGGGGATTGAATTGACGAATATAGTGGTTGAGCTTTTGGGAAAAGAAGGTAAGTTAAACGTTAAAAGGACACAGTCACTGCTCTCCATTTCCTCTCTTACTGTGTGTGAATGCATAACTGTACACATGTCTGATGTAAATGAAAGACACTCTACGTGTTAATTGTTGGCTGGCTTCTTAGCAGCTTATACTAAAGCCTCTCATATAAGTTGAATTAGCAAGGGTGCCCTTTGCTTTGCCTTCTGTGTTTACTGTGAGCCACGGCTTGTCTGAATCCAGGAATGTGAGGAGTTGATCATAGAGACACAGAGCGACTTAATTCCCTCAAGTCTGAGACCTTGCAGCCTAAACACACTGAGGCCCTGTGCTGCTGAGGTCAGCTATTTGTTTTTCCCTCTAGCTGCTGAGCGAGACTTCACACAACTCGCACCAGAGGGAGCCATGCTATCCAGCAGTGCTGCATTATGGACCATAGGAGGAGGCGAGAGAGGGCCGATTGTCGCGAGGGAGGCGTGAGGGAGCCCCCCCCCAACCCCCCCTCCTTTTCCACCCCCAGTGTCCTTTTCACACTTCAACAGCTTTCTTCCACCTCCTCCTCCAACTTTTCCTCCTTTTTGGGAGAGAATTAAACGTAACAGGGCTGAGGCCTGGGATTCAGTGTCACTGCCCTTTGATCTGCTCCCTGTGCAGTGAGCACACATGGTCTCAAAATGTTCACGTTTAAATAATAACTAACTAAAAGCCCTTTTCACAGTGGTCGGTATTAGGAGTGTGCTCCTGCCACGGCAGTGGGCTCAGACCTGGTGCTGGTCTCCAGGCACTGTGCTATGGCTGCCCACTGCTGAATAGAGAGAAGACTTATTTCCCCAAACAGACTAATATAGAATAACTTAACACATCACCTTCCAGTCTCACTCATCTTTCCCTCTGTAGATTTGCCCACCTACTCACCCTTACAGTAAGCTATAGCAAGCTGACGTCCTCTCCCATCTGTGTGATGAAAGCCAGGCATCTCAGAGTCAGTGGAGGCCCTGCCTGTGTTTGGACTCAACTCACCCACCACCGCAACATTCACTGTACCCAGACAGCCACACAACGGCCCGGCCAGCATTCCTGTCAGCGACAGAGCATACTGTATATGCTCTCAACCTGGCTTGATTTAGAGGATTCTTTATATGAGGGGGGCCCTGAGGAGCCTGACCGGACTGATGGAGAGGAAAAGAAATGTGCCACATGCTACCTGTAAGTCCAGTCAAGTGTATGCCAGAAAAGACTGCGTAATATAAACTGATGCAGTTCAAGATTTCTTTGAATGAAGACATTGTTGGTCTTAGTTTGATGCTCATTTTTCACTTCTCATGACAAATATTGGCACAAAAAAAGCCCCAAATGGGTTTGTGGAAAGCTAAATGCCAGCGAAGAAGCCATTCCAACTTCTGTCTGTTGCAAACACACAACTTCAACAGACATGTGGCATTTCCTAACCTTTGACATGAATAACATAGATATTTTCCCTCAGAGGAATTGCAAGTCTGGTAGAATAAAACATAATTTGCTTGCTAACAGTAACATAATGTAAAACTGTGTGTTTTTCGCAGAAATAAGAGGAGTTAATGTGAATTCAGCTTTGAATCGTAGAGTTAGGTTAGAGTTAGTTAAGCTGAAATGAGTGTTCTGGATGTGACAGAGAAGTACAAAAGAAACTCACCACTTCTGTGTTTGTGATTTTGGCCAGCAGGTCTGTCAGACTGTCGCCCCACTGTGACTGGTCAGCTGAATCCAGCTGTAGGCCGCAGATCGCTGCCCCCACACTTCCTGTGGCAATCATGGAGGGAGGATACATGGCGAATCTGAAATCTGTTAGCGGAAGAAATACCAATTGAGTTAAATCTCCAGCGCTATTAGTTTTGGTAATGATACAAAGAGGTATTTATTGTTACATTAAGCGAGGAGCTAAAATCTTTAGATCAGCAAATGACAAAAACGGTTAATTTACACTGGATTCTTTATTCACCTGGTGCAGTTTGTAAATTTCACTTTTCAATTAATTTGCTCCACAAATAGTGTACACATACATCCCTCCAAGAGACAATATGATTTGGTAATCTAGCAGTCAGCGAATAAATAATCCCTCTATTGCACCGGGTCTGAACGCAGCGCTCACTAATGACCAGGGGGCCTGGATAATGAGGGTTCACTTGGCTTGTAAAAGAGCTGAAAAGCAACCACCCTCACCCGCTCCCCGCCCCGGTCCCCCCTTTCCCCAGCCCGGCCCCTTTTCTTCCATCTCCTGAGTAAATCGTGTGCTCGCTGAAAAAAAGCCCCATAGCGCTTGGAAAGGGGGGAATAAAGAGGCTCAGTGCCTCTGCCAATGCTCACTGCTGTAGGTCCTTTTTCCACGTGTGGTCACAGGCGTGCGTCTCAAAGACCAATAACCTTGTTAGCTCCCCTCACTGTCATTCATAATGCAAATGAGACAGCTTGTGAACGGGCCAGAAGCCCGAAAAGGCAAGGCAACTGGCATACAGGGAGAGGGAGCAGGGGAGACAGACAGACAGTGAGAGAGAAAGTTTTTCTCTTCACAAACAGAGACGCACGCTCGCACGCGCACACACACACACACACACACACACACACACACACACACACACACAC